TTTTTTTTTTTTTTTTTTTTTTGCCCTCAGGGAATTTGCTTAAGGGAAACTCATTCTTCAAGAAATTCAGATTGTCTTTCTACATTCAGTGACATAGACAGTATGGTCAACTAAGAAGTTTCCCATTTCAGTCTGTTTAGATCACACCTTTGGACATGATTGCAGTTTAAGCTGTGAGGACTGCATGAATGGAGGAAGATGCCAGGAAGGAAAAATGGGGTGCATCTGCCCCGCTGGTTGGGGTGGAATTCTTTGCAATGAAAGTAAGTAATGCTCTGAAGAGCTGGTAAGAATATAGGTTCTTCTTTTGTCTGGAAATTACTGGTGATGATATTTCCTTCCGTGTGCACCCTCCCCCAATATTTCAATAAGATAAGTACAACTGAGGTGGATGAGAAACTAATTTATTTGTTTTGCATTAAGAGTGGTTATGAAGTATTGAGGTTTTAAACTAAACATGTGATTAGAGGGGGGATTTTATGTTCCCTAGGATACTTGATGCCCCTTGTTTGTCCATGGAATGTAAAAGTTAATTAAAGGATCTTAATATTCTAAGCCTATAAAAATCCCACCATTTAAACAAATTATTAAGCTCAAGCAAGCTATTCCCAGTGAAAAATAAAAGAAAACATTTTGATACAAAGTGAAATTAATGGAATTGTTTTACCCTTTCCAGCTTCTTTTGTTTTGTTCATTATTTTAAAAATAATTTTAATACAGTCAGTACTTTAGATTTTGATGTCTCTCATGAGAAAACATGAATGATTAATAAAACTTTTCCTTTTAGTCTAAATGAAGTTGTACTTATAGGTACTAAAGTTTAATAAAAATAAAACATATCAACTGTTTATTTTTTAGTGTATCTTATATTAATTCAACAGCAGGTTTTTTTTTTAATCATTGTGATGGCTAGTAAGAGAAATTAACAGATATTCTTTTGAATCCTTTGTTAGTGGGATAAATAGCACACATATTGTTTCTTTTATGAAATAGATGCAAAACTTGAGCCATAACAATGTAATGGTTTAACTAAAATATAACTTAGTGAGCTAAAGGTTTGAGAATCTCCCTCAAACATTCCTCTTTACGAAGTTTTTCTGTTGTTCAAAAATCAGTAAAGTGTCTCATTTCCTAACACATAAAAATTAGACTTATGTTATAACAGGTGACCTTCATAAATTCTTCAATTTTTTTAATGCTAATAACAATTGTCCAGCAAACTAAACCACTCACTTTTTAATGCTTTTACATTTATCACCTTTGTGCTGTTTAAAAAACTGTCACCTTTGCTCATGGGTGCTGATTACAAGAAAACTTCATTTGATAAACACAGCCAAACAGTCAAACTATATTTTTTGTGGATTAAAATCATACACACATACTTCAATGGGCTAGTTAACTCTGCTCCTATTTTGTCTCCTGTAATAGAATGAGAGATAGTTGTCAAAACCTATTTACATTTCTCCAAATATGAGGCATACATCCCACTGAATAAGCAAATGTATTGGTACTGAGATACCCAGCTATGTTGACTTGTAATTTAACATATACAACTATATAGAAGTGGAATCAAATACAAGTTGTCACATAATATTAGGGAGTAATGCTTGCTTCTGCTATTATATTTTGCTGGTAAATATGTATCTTTTAAACCCTTGATTCCATAAATGGCAACATGAGAGATTAAGCTATAAACCAAGCTCAGATACATCAGAATTAAATATCTGTAGTAAAAAATTAATATGAAAATGTTGAAGTTGCTGATAAAATGAAGATGAAGTAAACCTCTTTTGGGATGTAGAAACCTTGAATATTTCCTCAGTGTTCACATGACTCTGTAAAGGGAAATCTGTCCCTGAGGTAGAAGCTTATATCATGTTTAAACATCTCTGTTTCATTATTTTTAGAGATCGGAAAATATAGCAAGGAATTTTGGGGGAGGGGGAACCCAAAAAATATTCACTATTTTTTTTAATGAAGTAAACATCTTCAAATAATTTTCCATATTTTTTTAAATTAAGGTCATATTGATTTATAGCACTGTCTGTGATCAGAGGCATAATATCACCTCTTGCAGTGTATATGTCTAAACCACATCCCCACCAAGGCACCCTTAGTTTTCCACCAGACTCTATTTCCAACCCTTCCTACTTTGCTCTTGCCTCACCTGCTTCCTATCTACCAACCTCAATTAAAATCTCAGATTTCTAGGGTATCTTATCGGTTTACTATTATCTAAAACTTTTTATTTTCTTTTGTTTTTCTACAGTCAACATATAAGTGCCAACATCCAGTATTTGTCTTTCTCCAGGCTTATTTCACTTAACATAATTCCCTCTGGTTCTATTCATGTCATTACAAAAGGCAAGGATTCATCATTTTTATGTAGTTGAGTAGTATTTGATTGAGTATAGATACCATATGTTCTTAATTCACTAATCTGTCTTTGGGCATTTAGGCTATTTCCACAGATTGCTTACTGTAAATAGTGCTGTAACAAACATAGTCAATTAATGTTTTTGTTTGTCAGATAGATGCCTAGGAGTAGATTTGCTGTATAACAAAGTAGATCTAGTTTTAATGTTTGGAAAAATCTCAACACTTTTCCACAAGGCCTAAGTAAGTCTACATTCTCACCAGGAATGTAGAGGTTTTCTTTTTCTCTGTATCCTCATTAACACTTGTTTGTTCTAGGTCATTCTCACAGATGTGAGGTGGTAACTCATTGTGGTTTCTATTTGCATTTCTCTGATGATAAATGATGATGAGCATATTTCAGTGTGCCTGGTCATCTGTAAATCTTTGGAGAAGTGCCATTTGAGCTCTTCTGCCAATTATTTTTTATTAGATTTTATTAGTTTTTTTTTCTTCGTTTTAAGTTGTATGAGTTCTTTGAATATCAGCCTGTTCTCAGATGTGTGGTGCACAAATACACTTTCCCATTAAGTATGGTGTCTTCTTGTTTTAATAATAGTTTCTTCCACTATTTAGATGGATTTTGGTATACCCCATTTTTTTTTATATTCTCTCTCTCTTTTTTTATATTGCTGTTAAAGACAAAACCACAAACATTGCTGAAGTGTATGTCATGCTTTTTAACCTATGTTTCTCTCTATATGCTTATAATCTCAGGTCTCACATCCAAGTTTTTAATATATATTAATCTATATTAACCCATCTGTCATATTAGAGAGAGATCTAGTTTTATCCTGTTCTGTATAGCTTTCCTAGGTCTCCTGACACCATTTATTGCAGAGAATTTTCTTTCTCCAGTATCTACTTTTGGCAGCATTGCCATAGATTCACTGTACACATACGTGGGGATTTATTTCTGAACTTTAAATTGTATTCCATTGGTTTGTATATTTGCTTTTGTTCTAGTGCCATGATGGTTTTGATTATTATTGTTTTGTAGTATAGTTTGAAACCTGAAAGATTTATACTGCTGATCTTTCCCTTTTTTGTTAGGATTATTTTGGTTAAGTTATCTTTTATGGCTCGATATGAATTTCAGTAATTTGTCTTCTACATCCTTGAAGAATTCCATTGAAGTTTTGATAGGGATTGCTTTGGAATCTACATATTTCTTTGGTTTAGATGTCCCTCATTCCCCATATACTCTTCAAATGATGAAAGGAAAATTTTACAAAAGAATATTTAACAGAGGTCTAGAAAGTTCATTTTCCCTAAATTGTTTTATGTACAACAAATATGGATATGTCTAATTTTACATCTTAGGAAATTATCTGAGTAATTTTAAAGTAGTCCCTTACTGTTAACCTTAATATCACGTTTTAGAACTCCATTTTGTTTGAAGAGATTTCATATTGGCTATCTCATTTGCTAATGTTACACTATCCAGTAGAAAAGGGAGATAGGAATATCTTTGTTGATAAAGCAAATGAATGCACTGGGCCTCCCAGTGGCATAAGGGGTTAAGCACAATACTATGAAGTTATCTGGAGCCACAGTAACAGAGTAGTGTAAGATTTTAAAACAAAACAAAATTTAGTTTATTAAAGATTTATTTATTTATGCATACAGAACTGGGGTACAAGCCAGAGGCGCAAGGGCTGTGGGAGGATTCAACAGAGACAGAGTGGGGTGCAGGACAAGTAGATCGACAAAGTACAATGCTGAGGGGAGCAGTGGGCAGGCCAGGAGAGGTCTGCACACCCTGGCTTGAGATCAAACTCACACTAAAGCGGCTGCTGCTTACTTGCAGCGCTGCTTCCTAACCAGTTGTGCCAGCAGGGAGGGCCAAAAAAAAGTTTAAAAAGAAACTAAGTTTCCACATTAACATCTGGAATGGGGTGGGCATATAGATAAAGGAGGTGATTTTTTTTTGTTTGTTTGTTTTAATAATATTTTTGCCTATTATGATCAAATGTTCATTAAAATGGTTACTGAAATTATTTCAAGAGTGGTATTTACTCACATTAGCTTAAAATGGGGTCTAGACATTTTTCCATTTTTTTTAATAGAGCACTGAACATTCCCCTAAAAACCAACAAACTAAAGAAAATAGTTGCTTGTTTGACTTTATCAATCATTGACCATGCAAAAATATCTTGGGATCCACAAGACAATATTAACTGGTTAAAACTCATGGTTAAAATATACATATTTTTTCTACATCTTCTTTTTCTTTTTTTAAAAAATAGAATATGTAGTTTGCTTTTATTAATTTTGGTGAAAGATGTCTGGCTACCTTTGAAAATGTGAGGGTTAGCATTTCAGAAACAGATAAATTTTGTATGTGAAACGCTTTAGCAATATTGCTGTCAATATCAATTTAACTAGCTATGTCAGTAATACCCCCAGGATTATGCCTGTCAAGCTCAGAACATGGCAGAGACGCTTTTTGGGTCTGCAAGTTTGAGACTTTGATTAGCATTAGCTAATAAAAAGACAACCTGTTTTCCTCCTTCACTGCTTGTATCACAAAGAGAATGTCCCACTATTTGCCTTCTCTGTTTTCTTGATAGCATGTTCCCTGAAGACTGGTGGGCAAGAGGATGGTGGCAGCATGTGCCACTGTCAGAACGGAGGAACCTATGACCGGCTGAGGCGGCAATGCCGGTGCCCCCCAGGTGTCCACGGGAAGTCCTGTGAAGATGGTAGGACCGTCGGGAAGGATATTGGTTTTGAGACAACTCTTAAAGCCCTTGAGGGTTTTTTTTTTTTTTTTTTTTTTTTTTTTTTTTTTTTTTTAAGATTTATTTATTTGTGCAAACAGAACTGGGGTACAGGCCAGAGGCTCAGGGGCGATGAGAAGCTTCACCAGAGACAGAGTGGGGAACAGAACAGGCAGATCAGATCGACGAAGTACACTGCTGAGGGGAGCAGCAGGGCGGGTCAGGAGAGGTCTGCCATGCCATGTGGTCACCTCCCGGGCAGGTGGGAATCGAACTCATGCGGAAGTGGTTTTAGATTCTCAGTGCTGTGCTTCAACTCACTGCGCCACGGGGGGGGGGGGGGGGGGTTTTTTTTGGTTTTTAATGGGAAATAAACTGATTAAAAGGTTGTCTGTGCTTTGAAAGATTTTTTGTTTTTGCTCAAAAAATTAAAGGTGATATCTATAAAAGCAAAAGTACAGTTGTTATGCCTGATGAAGAGTTGAAGAGCATAGCAGACAAAATAAGCGATACTTAACTCTCCAACTGTGACCTAACCAGGATGCTGCATGGTACACAGGATTTCTTTTTCTTCAGTTGAGCAAAGAGTTGAGTCTGCATGTGCAGGTTTAGACATAGGAGGAGGTGGAGAACATGTATTTGCTTTGTCTAATAAGAGAAATAAAAATGAGAGCTTATTGGTTAAATCAGGAAGGAAGAACATTGAAAAGAGGCAAGAAGGGAAAGAAGGAAAGAAGGAAGTGATGAAGAAGAAGAAGAAAAAAAAAAAAACTAGTGAAATACCGCCGAGTGTGAGTAGATATTTTATGGAACCAGTGAAGAGACCACATTTCCTATAAGGGTTGATGAAGCACAAAAAAAGAAATTGCTTTACAGGCCCAAGGACTGAAAGTGGAAGGGCAATGAAGACATAAGTCTTCAGGTATTACAAGAATCATGAAGAGTTATTGGATCTCAGAGAACACAGAACTGGGAAGATGGAAACTAAATTTACTTCACACTTGAAGAGACACAGAAAGGCTCCTGCTGGTATCCCAGCTGCTTATTTGCCTAAACAATGTTATTTTATAAATTTATCCAAACATTATTCATTAAATATTTGTGAACAACTATTAGGAATTATGAAGGCAAAGAAAGAGAGAGGCATGTTGGTGCCTCTGTGTATAACTTACAATCTTGTTCAAGGAGAAGATAGTTATAAATGTTTGAAGGTATTACAAGTTAAATATTAATGTATGTTTGGAGGTCAGACCCTGGGGACAATGCAAAGTTTGTGAGCCGGGGAGTGACTTCCAGAGGAGTGACATTTAAGCAGAAGTCTTCAGCATGAGGAGACAGAAGACAGGAAGAGTGATGATCCACGTGTTGCCTGAAGCTAACGAAAGATAGTTAGAGAAGCAGAATGAGTCAAGCAGTTCTTAATGTAACATGAGGCAGCCAGCGCAGAGGTACACGGTCCTTATTAAGTCTCAAGTTTTCAAACTGAGAGCAATGTCAATTCATTGTAGACATTTGGTTGGAAAATACACAATCGTAGTTGTTCCTCTTTTTAACCTCAGTTCAATCATACTGAAAATAGCTTCTCCCAAATTCCTTATTTCATATAACAACTCTAGTAACTTTTGCATGTGGGTTAATACTTACTTTTTTTTTTTTTTTTTTGTCCTTTTTCTCTCCAGGATGCCCAAAAGGATTTTTTGGGAAGAACTGCAGAAGGAAATGTAACTGTGTCAACAATGGCTCTTGTCACCGGGTCTACGGTGCCTGTATGTGTGAGCCAGGGCACTACGGGAGGTTTTGTCATCTGAGTAAGTCACAGGCACTACAACACTGGCCTATGGTGGGGAGCTAGGAGGCTCAGAAAAATACAGAGGAAGAGAGTAAGGAAAATATACCATTTTATATGGTCCCATCATATATATTTGACAATAGTGTTCTAATCTTTGTTTAGCTTCCTTGCATTTATAGAATATAGAATTTGATTAATGAAAGAAAAATATTTCTGATTTTTTTCTAATCAATGTTTGCCTTAATAATTAACACCAGATTGTGTATAGTTAACTTACATGAAAATTTAACACTTTAGAGTAGTTGACTATCGAAGCTCCAGAATAAATCTTTTATTTCAAGGTTCAGGAGCAAAGCAATTTCTTTCCCTAAAAAAAAAAAAAAAAAAAAAAAAAAAATTATTTATGATTTTTTTTTTTTTGCATAGAGCTTGGCATAGGTTAGAAGAGAGGAGGATGAGCTGAGTCAACAGAGATAGTCTTTCCTTAAATTTCTAAAGCAGACTATTAACTTTTTATATTTGCTAAAAAGATGTGAGAAGACATAATCCCTAATACATATAACAACCCACCAGTAATTTAAGATTCTTCCAGTGAGGCAGCTCTGGACATTCACTTTCCCCTTTTGATGTTGCATGTAAATATCTGAGCCTAAATAGTTGCTGTTCTTTGCCAATTCATTATGCCTTTTTCTGAAAATTCCACATACATGAACATCAGTACCCCAGCCAATTTGTGCATGAAGAGAACTTTTAGAATCTTAAATATTGAGTTACATATCTGCAGGTTTTGCATTTTTTAATAAAAGTCATGTCCTTGAAAACAGAGAACAAATTATGAATCCACTAATAACCAGTGAAGGCATCATAGAAAACTGAACCTGTGTTGTAAGGAGAGGGTAGGCTTGGATGAGAAGATAATAAGGAGGGTATAGGTAAAAGTGAAATGGGAGGTAAAGATAGTGCGTTCCAGAACATCCTGTTCCTCCTAGAATATGTCAAGATAAGACTGGTGGTGCAATGGATTAAAGGACAGCACTATGAAGTTAACGCTAGCTGCTTAAGCACAAGTTCAATCCCTGGCCAGGTGATCATAGAAATAAGTGTGACATCTTTTTTCTTACTGTTCCTCTAGGACATTAAGGCATGTACTTTTCTCAGTAATAGCCTTTTAATATTTTATACTATACTATCAGGTATTTTGATAAAATTAAATAATTATCTGGGAAAAACTTGAATAGCTTCTGGTGGTTTTGATGGTAGTTAGTATTTAGAATGTGACTATCTTTTTTTCAAGTTTTTTTTTTTTCTTAAGATTTACTTATCTGAGCATACAGAACTGGGGTACAGGCCAAAGGTACAAGGGTGGTGAGAAGATTCACTAGAGACAGAGTAGGGAGAAGAATAGGCAGATTGACAAAGTACACTCCTGAAGGGAGCAGCAGGAGAGAGACAGGAGAGATCTGAGGCACCACATGGATCACCTCCCTGGCCAGGGATCGAACTTGTGCTGAAGTAGCTAGAGCTAACTTTGTAGTGCTGCACTGTAACCCATTGCACCACCAGGGAGGACCCGAGAATGTGACTATGTTTAGGGAAAACGTGTGCATGCCAGTTCTTCAGGACTCATTTCTTAGACATGAGAGTTTCTTTATTTTTGCCATATGGTTGACTCTGAGAAGCTTGGGTTTTCAAATCTATTTATTAGTTTTCTAGGGCTATTATAATAAAATACCACAAACTGTCTTATACAACAAAAATTTATTGTTCTGGAAGCTAGTAATCTGGAATCAAGGTGTTGACAGGGGCATACTCCCATGGAAAGAAAAAAGGAAGCATCAGTTGCAAGATTTTGGCTTGGTTACTGGTAGCTCCTTGGCTTGCACAGCAGAACTCCAGCCTTCACACTTTCTGTGTATCTCTATGTCCCAAATTCCCCTAATTATAAGGACATCTGTCATATCATATTAGCTGCCCATATTCTAGTATCACCTCATGTTAACTAATTACATTGACAAAGACACAGTTTCCAAATAAGGTCACATTCTGAATTAGTGAAGGTGAATTTTTAGAGGACATATTTCAATACATAACAAACCCTACATAGGTTTTATTTTATATTGCCAAAAGTGATTGCTGCTTTCACTTTCCCCTAAGTTTATATCCATAGTTACATGTTCTTAAGATACTGAACTATCACATTTAAGAATGCCATTATTTCTAAGATGTACCCTGGACCACAATTATATGTGTTGAACTAAGAAGAATAGGGGATGGAAGTCACTGAGGGAGATGAAAATTATAGTATGAGCAAGAAGAGACCTATATTGAGGAACATAATACCTCTGGATACCTTGAGGCTTGTTGGGTCTGGGAAAAAAAACTCAATATTGGCAATCACAGGAAGGATGAGAGAGGGACTACACAATTTATCTTTAAAAGTGAAAAGGATTAGTTAGTAATTTCTTTCCTGGTTTGTGGGTAACTCAGCTATCTCTGGGAACTGAGACCAGGATCTCAGTTCCTACATGGTGGTATTATACCACCACTTTATTATCTCTGCTAATAATAGCAGATATTAGTAGCTGTTGATAATTTCCAGCCATTATCAAGTCAAGTGGATTGTTATATTATCACCAAGGAATTATCAGCAGCAACTCTTATGCAGGCATATAAAACAGTTAATTTCAACCTGGAAGGCACTTGAGGAATCTTATTTGAAAAGTCCCTAAGACATCTAACGATGGAAGAAAAAGTAATCAGCTATATTTTGGAAAGATAATTGAATTACTTGTAAGTAAATCTTCAAAGACTAAGAGATGGGTATGTTTTCCTGGATGCAAAACTAGAATTTCAAGTTAAAATTCCTGAACTGATATCATCCCTAAAACTCAACAACATGAGAAAACTAATGAAGAAAAGGCAACACCATTTGCCTATGATGTGGCCATGATAATGCTGTTGACATGATGAAAACCTTGTGTTATCTACACAATGTAAATTTATTTCTAATTACCATATAATGAAAGGGAGTGAAAGCAAAAGGCAAGTCTTCACATTAGTGCTTGTCCATCCCTTCTGAGCTGTGGCAGGATGAATATGGGATCTGGCAGACCTCAGTAGTCCATGGAGAATATTAACTATAGGGACCAATGGAGCACACTGGGAAGCAGTTTCTCTCCTGGAAACACCAAAGCCTATTACATAGTTCAGGCATCACTATTCACATCCAGTTGCCAAAAGGCAAATGAATTGCCTGATTTGAAAGACATTTGTTTTCCTTTCTTTCTTTTTTTTTTTTTTGGCATCAGGTAGATTCCCTTGTTTTCCATATAATCAGGCCCTGCAGAACTACATGCCTGTGCACCCACGATGTAAAAGAAAACAAAGCATGGCTTTCAGGTAACCACTTTGCCTCAATCTGCTTGCAGACTGTCCCAAGGGGGCCTACGGTGCTGGCTGCTCTGCAGAATGTCAGTGTGTAGAAGAGAACACCCTGGAATGCAGCGCCACAAATGGCAGTTGCACCTGCAAATCTGGTTACCAAGGCAACAGATGCCAGAAAGGTACAATCTGATGATAAATTTGCTTTCCTCTTTAATAGAAATGCTCAGGCTTTGTTCAGCACCACATGATCATTAATTAGTTAATCCACCAGTGTCCTCAGGAGATGGGTAAGCTTTATTAATCCCTTATTTGCAGGTGAGAAAACCGAGATACAGGGTAATAAAGTTATTTAACCTTGTCTTCGCAGCCTCTGCTATTAGCTGTCCCCTTGCTAGTTTGAGCAAGGGAAGAAAGATCACATTGCAGAGAATCTTATCCAGAGAAGATTAAAGCTGGCCAGTCACTTCTTTGAGCTGAACTAATCAACCAAGGACACTGCTAGCTCCCAGAGTTAAAGAATAATGTTCTTTATATCTAAAAATAGATCACTCCAACAAAGACAATTCAAAGATTTTAACCATAGGAATTTGGGAAAATTTAAAGATGGGTATCAGTGGACCCTTTTTCAAATTGCTAAGCCTTTCATAATTGATTTGTATATATATATATATATATAAATATAAAAATGAATGTATAACATATAAATATATTTGTGTGTAGGTGCATATAAAATCTGGGAAGCAGCAAACCAAAGCTTATTTGTGACTGTCACTTTTTTGAGGTTCCATATCACCTTTTTACTGAATCTTGTCAATACTGTGCTACATGAAATTGCAATTTTCAAGTGTCCTTGAACATACGTCCTCCAGAAGTTCTTATGGTTTTCTAAAACATATCATGTATTCTAATTATTATTATGTCTAATATTTATTATCTGTCTCCCCTGCTAGAATCTAAGTATGAGGAAAGACATACTTATTTTGTTCACAGAAGTATCTTTATATTCCTTTAATAACTCTGACATATAAGAGAGGCTCAATAATATTTTATTGTGCTAGTTAAGCTTGCAAGTTTCAATTTTTAACCTATACACTTTTCTAAATTATCAGATATTCTGAATAAAGCACATGTTGCTATGTCATTCAAAGGAAACTATCACATTATTATTTCCTCCTTAATACCTAGAACTGAGCATATAATAAACAAAAATATCATAACCAATGCATATATTGTGTTGCAAGTGATCTGAAAGTCTATGTGAGAACAGATTTGAGAGGAAGCTGTCACATGTCAACTCTTGAATCCTCTGACAGTTCCAGGCACTGGGATCAAAGGTTGTCTTTGATCCTCATGTATTACACATCACTCCTCACACATTGTTCTCACAAGGTTTGCAGTGTTTCTCCATAGGGATGAGACTCGTCCAGGTAGCCATGAGGCAGTGGGACACCCTCAGTATGTGAGCAGAAATGCCCATCTAGATTTCTTAGAAAGCTATTTAGGTAGCTGAACTGTGTGACTTTCTAGGCAAAGAGAGAAAAAACGAGAATTGTACAAATGCATTTGATAGGGTATAAGAATGGGTCGATGCCAAGCTATAAGCCTCCTTTCTGTTTCAATTAACTTGTAAGATGAGAGGCTGTCCCTTTTCATCCTCACCAGAGAGGTCATATCCTGGAAGTCAATGCATGAGGAGACAAAACCATATGCACGCACCTGGGTATATTTAATTTATTCTAATGACATTTTTTAAAAGCAGCTGCTGAATATACTATATTGGAGAATGCCTCAGAGATCCCCAGGAAAGGAAGGAAAATGAGTTGAAAGTCTATGCAAATCAGCAAAATAGAGAGGTCACCGTAATCTCTGGAAAACATATTATTTTTCAATCAGATAACTTTGTCCAATTCTGATACTTTTGTCTATCCACAAAATGAAATTATGAATCAGACTGGAGTGGGTGAATGGGAGTGCTGTGATTGGCACCTTAAATCAAGGCAAAAGAGCTCTCCAACAGTAGTGCATGATGAAAATCAGGCCTGTTGTTTGTCTTTCTTTTTTAAAGAGTGAAGTATCCCAAGTGCTCCTAGAGTCAGACTTATCTTTAAAAATCTTTACTTTATACCTGTGTCTAGATTGCAGATGAATAGTTAATTAAAGACTGCAAATTGTTTCAATGGCTCTAATGAACACTACTCTCCACAATCAGTACCAGGCTGTATTGAGCCCATCAGTGATAACTTTGAAGAGTAGAAGAGTTGGCTTCTACAACTAATGTGTGAAATAAAAAAAAATAATAAAAAAAAAAGTGGGGGGAGCTTGGGCAGACTGTGAGTTTGTGAGTTTACCTTTGCCTTGTATTGATCAGTTTGCCTTCTGGCACATTTTAGACTCCATCAGGAGTCAGACCCTTACCTGAGAGGACTCTGGCACTTAGTCCATACAGTGAGGCCTATTAAACCAGGTGTTAACATAAAAGATTTTTGCTGTAATAGTCCATGTTGGAGAATTTTAGGTCCCCAACATCAGTTTAATTGGCTTGAAAGATGCTCAAGTACTTAGTATTGGAGTTCATGGTGGGTTTAGTGGCTGAAAGAACCAGTTTTAGGGATCAAAGGTCTGGCTGAAATCCAGACTGCTACTTACTAGCTGTCTGACCCAGCCTAAGTGACTCAACTCCTCAGAGTCTCAGGTTCACATGTAAATGACGCAGAAATGCTTATGGCATGCAGTGATATTCATGTAAATGTGAGATAATTTATGTAAAATACATGGCACAGAGCAAGCCATCAGCAGATAACAGCCAGGAAAGGTATGAACATCCCAGAAAATGTCATTGTTAGTATTTCAGAGATTCCACTTAAAACACAAGGTTACTTCACAGCCCAATTGGTTTGATGTAAATTTCCACAGTTGTTATATGTAGTAAAGTTTTACTGCTTCCCTGTGTTAAGAGAATGTTCCCCATCAGGTTTCTAATTCTAAATTTTTCAGTGGAAAGGCATACAATACAACTCTACATGACCCTCCACCGTCCACCAGATTGGCCCCTCCTGTTGTAGTTCGAATGATGTTTGGCAAGATGACAAGTTTTCCTCTTTCCACATTTTATTCAGTATACATACTTACAAAATATACAAATCAGGAAACTCCAGGATGATTACTATGTCTTACAAAAGAAGCAAATGCAGGAGTACAAAATTCAGGCAAACATTTGGGGACAACTTCCTGAACACTACACCTCAGAAACTTCCTTCAAATTACATCTCATTTTCAGGTTTTGTTCTGTGCAACTGGCTCCAAAGATATACATCAAATTGTTTCCATTGTTACTGTCTGAAAAAACACATTTTCAGCAAAAAGCCAACCTTTGTATCTGTGTTTCAAAATGACAAGATACAGCATCATGTTGATTTCTTCAGGGAATATATTTGGAAGTGCTATAAATCTTCAGAATCTACTTGAATGTTTCTTTGCAGCTCAGTCACACACATATGTACATACACACACACACACACACATACACACATGCATGCATGCACACTTTTCCAACTCATTTAGGAACAACAGAAATATGGGACCATCTTGAAATTTATTGCAAGCCTTAGCTCCTTTCTTTTTCTCCCTTTTTGTTTTTTCATAGCCTGCCCTGATGGTCTCTGGGGAGAAGAGTGCCGGTTGTCCTGTGGACCCTGTGAGAATGGAGGTCAATGTAACAAAACATCTGGAAACTGTGACTGTACTCCTGGTTACACAGGATCAGCCTGCACTGTGGGTAAGTCATTAACAAATATAAGAGAAGAACAAAGTCAACATAGTTTTATATGTCCCTCCCCTACCCAAAGGTTTTATGTGTTATTATGTCAGACTACAATTGCATATAATTACACTTATAGTATAATTGCTGCTTAATATATTAACATGGTACCTTTTTATCCTGTGGATTGATGAGATGCTGCTTCTGCTAGTTTCACCTGGACACTCTTGTGTGACTGCTTCTAGCTGACAAGGTTAGTTGGGAACTGTGCTGGACTGGACTTTTCAACCAGAAAAAAATCTCACTTTTCCTAGACACAGAATTTCTGCATTAGTTTGAGCTTCCTCATAGCATGGCGGTATTAAGACAACAATCCAGGAAGAAGTGTGTAAAGTATGAATGCAGAAGCTGCAAATGTCAAAAATGTAGATTTAGAAACCACACGGTGCCAGTTAGAAAGAATTCTGCAAATTCTTTTAGGTAAAGGAAGTCAGAGGTCATCAAATTCCAGAGGAGGAGAAAGTTTGTACTTCCTGAAGAGACCAGTAGCAAAATCTAGTGCAGAAGACCTGCAAAAATGGGAGATATGTCTACAGCTATCTTTAGAAACAGTCTACCATATAATACTATTCAAACACTGAAAGGCAATTCAAAATTTTACTAGACTTTTATCATTCTTGTCTGAGTGAGAGCAGATAGATGCTGATAAAAATACCTGAACTGAGACTGGCTTCAGGAAAAACAAACAAACAAACAAAAACAGGAGAGCTATTGCTCTGCTCCCTAGTTTCTTTTGGGGATCCCTTTACAAACTCTGTTAACCTCCCTACTTCATCCACCTTGGAGCTGAGTAATATGAGAACTGAAGGGAAACTGGGCTGAATGGTAAAGGATAATATTTACATGATCATTTCACATGAGTTCAACAAAGGTGAGCCAAAATCTCTGTTAGTGACTATAGGAGGTATCACATGTCACTTGAATTAATTTTCAGCACTTTGGGCATTCTATAAGTCAATAAAAAGAAAAGAAAACCAGTATCTTAAGCTATAAATATAAAATATACAGCCAGGATGGTATTATCAATTAAAGAGTCATCTGATCATTTGGGGGAATTAACTACTGACCCTAAGGATAACCCTTAAGCAAGGCTGCTAAAACAACTTCTCTACTTGGTGACACTTTTTCTACATATAACAAGATAGTTTGTACTTTAAGCTTGTCATCTTGGCACTGTAGACAGGCATTTCAAATAGAATGAAAGTTGGCTGGAACAGCAATTGACTATCCTTAACTACTTGTTTGCTTTAAAAAAAAAAAAAAAACTAAAGGTAAGAATTTACATATTCAAAAGGTAGTCATTTGCTATTTCTATAATGAAATGACATTTTCTCTTATTTTCTCTTGCCTAATTCAGCTTTAATGGAATAATCATTAAGAAGGTAGTGGTAAAGTTTATACTGTTCCAATTGTCCAATGATATAGACACTTGGAAAATAAGGAAAAAAAGAAAAAAAAACATTCCTCTGTTTAAAATAGTATCTCAATACTTCTATTATGTTTCCTTTTCATCCTACATCTTTAACTCAAGGACTTATATCACCATATAGACCTGAGAGTTTTTTTGTGACAAGTAGTAGTACTGGAATTTTCTTGGCAAACTGATACATGAGATAGTATGTTGAATTTAATAGGCAAAATTACTCACTGACTCCTAGTCCCATTCAAATTTAACATTGTATGTTATTGATGTTATCTGATTTTACACACACAGAGACAAACACAAATTATATAATCACCATAATAAAATATTTTTAAAAATAAGTGGAACCAAAAGATATGGCTCATTAAAAATATTTCATGCCCACTCTACAAAAGAATGTGTGTGGCATTTAAAAGAAGGCTTGTGTTTGACAAAAAAGCATACATTTCTCTAACTGTCCTGGTATGGCACTTACAGAATTTTAAAACCTAGTCTGTATAATGAACTGTAAAAACACTTATAGGCTTTACAATGTAGTATGTTGTAGCGGCAGGAGAGAACAAAAACTATTTCTATAGATCTGGCTTTACAGAATTTCCAATTTTTGGAAGTTATAAATACAAATACTTAGGGGAAATATTTTTATTGGTTTTATTATACTGGGTTAGAAAACTTATGGGGTTTTGGAGTCTACTTCAACCCACATCTAAAGAGTGTGGCTTCATAGACATTCTCATAACTTTCACAAGAATGTGCCATCCCAGCCCTCCCTGGCGGTGCAACAGGTTAAAGTACAGCACTAGGAAGCTAGTGGTAGCAGCTCCAGCACAAGTTCCACCCCAGGCCAGGGGGTGACCCACATGGCACAGTAGACCTCTCCTGCCCCATCAGCAGTGTACTTCGCTCCCCTCAGCAGTGTATTTCGTCAATCTGCCTGTTCTGCTTCCTACTCTGTCGTTGGTGAATTCTCTCACCACCCTTGCCCCTCTGGCCCGTACCCCAGGTCTGTAAGCATAAATAAATAAAAATGTAAAAGAAAAAAAAAAAGGATATGCCATCTCTGTGAAAGTTGTAGCCTTATTACCAACTAATCTAAAAAGTAGGCCCTCCCTGGTGGTGCAGCGGGTTAAAGCACAGCACTGAGAATCTAAAGCCACTTCCGCATGAGTTCGATTCCCGTCTGCCCCGGAGGTGACCACATGGCGTGGCAGACCTCTCCTGACCCGCCCGCTGCTCCCCTCAGCAGTGTACTTCCATGATCTGCCTGTTCTGCTCCCTACTCAGTCTCAGGTGAATCCTCTCACCCTCCGCAACTCTGGCATGTACCCCAGTTCTGTATGAATAAATAAAAAAACCTTAAAAAAAAAAAAGTAATCCTTTTTTTATCCCTACATTATTTATAATTATGTAAACACAGAAGGGAAGCAACCTAAATATCCACCAAAAGGAACATAAATGAAAGATTATATAATGCGTCAGTGGACTATTCTGAGAACATAAATTCATGATTTGAAAGAAACTGTAATGTAAGGAGAATTAAAATTAAATTGATGCTAAATGATGTTTATAAGGAATGACCCAAAGTTGTAGGAAAATGTACTCATGTATGTGTATACAAAATGGAAAACTATAGCAGAAAGGACACCATTATTAGCAAGGATCATTTTAGATGGAACTATTGGTGATTTTTTTTTATAGATTTTTTCCATATGTACTATTTTCCCCTCAACAATTAGGGAGAAAAGTACATCATCTTCAATCAATTATTGACTAAACAGCTAAGTATAACTGTCTGCTCTTAAGTATGTCTGCTAGCCTTAACTGTTCCCATAATAATTGAGATGGATTGCTTATATTCTACTTGATGTTGCTCTTTTAATTTAGGACTGTTTTCTTCTGTTTCACATGATGCAGATATTTTGCAACACCACTAAAATTCTCTCCTTTTTATTATTTTTAAAGATCATTTTATTGATTTATGTCCACTTTGCAACTAATTGCGTTGGAATCTTGAAGACACAATTTAGGACTAAATCCTGGAATCATAGGCCATATGCATTAGTCACATGCAAAGTTAGATTTAGTGAAGGCTTAATTAAATCTACAAATTTTTTATAAAAACAAAGTATGTTTGGAGGTCCCCCGATGGTACAAAGGGTTAAATCTTAACATAATGAAGCTACCCATAGCCACTGTAGCACCAGTTTGATCCCAGCCAGGGAGCTGATCCACATGATACAGCAGACCTCTCCTGTCTTACCCACTCCTCCCCTCTGACTGTATTTTAGTACATCTGTCTGTTCTGCTCCCTTCACTGTCTCTGGTGAACCCTCTTCCCCTCCATCCCTATACCTCTGGCCTCTACCCCAGTTCTTGGATGCATAAATAAAATAAAATATTAAAAAAAGTTACATTTGTTATGCAAACATTATTAAATATGTTTGTCACTGTATGGGGGGAGAAGCAATTTAATTTCTGGGTAAAGTATCAATTTTTCAATATCTATAAAAATGATAACTGCACATATCCTCTGAACCAGTAATTTATTTAAGGGCTTATTTTTAAAAATACACTTGTTTGTATGTGAAATATTATTTTAAAAAGGACTAAAAGAATATGCCAACAACAAATATCCATTCTCCTTTCCTCAGAAATCCTACTTTCTATCCCTCACACTCATTTTGTTATTATGCCTCTGAATTTTTCCATTATTCTTGAGGGTTTCTAAAACTGTATCTTCAATAATAAAGGGGAGAAATTAGAGAAGATGGGGAGAAGAGTAGTGACAATTCAGATATACTTCATGCTGGAAGAGTGGTGACAATTCAGATATACTTTATGCTTTAAACATCATAGGATCAAACATCATGAAAACCCTGGTTTGTAACACTTACTGATTTCCATGATGAAATCTAGAGAATTCCTGAAGAAGTAAGCTTCTGGATTTGTAGTCGCAACTGCATTATAACATGGACTGGCAAATAATGTATTCTGAATACAATTAATGTTTTCTTAACTTTTACTTTCTCTCCTGATTGTATGACTTTTCAGGTCTTGACATGGATTTGCTACTTTTAGATAGATAATTAGTTTGACCTTTCTGGTTGAATTAAATTAACCAACTATAGTGTCAACCAACTAAAACTTCACTATTTAGTTATCTTATTTTAAAAACAAAAATAAATTATTTAGCCGAATTGATTCAAGACTATAGGCTGACAGAGCCTCCTCACTCACTTTCTCTAGAATTCATATAGCTGGAATACTGATTCAGATCTTGTGAAACATTCGCTCCTTTAAACCATTTTAAATTGTTTTCTAATTTCTTGTAACAACCCTACCATAAACTAAGGCTAATATTTCCTCTATGACAACATTGTATAAAAGAAGACAGTTATCCAAGCAGAAAAAAAGAACATGTAAAGCAAAATAAAACAAAACAAATGAACAGATAAAAATTGATTAGAAGAGAAATTAAAGCTCTTAAGCATCACTGAACACAAGGAGGTAAGCTGCAACAAGCTTGTAACATCTCTGAATCAATCTTAAATCTGAGTTTAAAATTGTTGTAAAATAAATTGTATTTAAATAATACATCGCCCATCCTTTCCTGCAGTGAGATGCATATCTCTTACTAATCTGGTTCTCAGCAGGCAGTCCAGCCTGATGAAGTATCAGCAAAATGTCAGCTCCCACAGAGAAGCACCACAGAGAGGCGACACTGAAGCGGTGACAGGTCTTTCAAAAAGCTATTGTGCAAATTCAGTTTTAAACTAGGAGTGTGGTTGAGGACTGATGGATATGTCATTACCAATGCGTTCATCTCCTCGTTATCTGCAGGTATGGATGGGAGCTCTGGTGCACTGATATTAAGTTGAGGAGTAGGAGATCTGGTCTTCAGGAGATTTGACTTCCTGTGTTTTCAAAAAGTTTACATTGAAATGAGCTGAGACTTTTTAATCTCATGTTCTTTTAGCATATTCTGAGAACTACCCTTTCCCATATTATCATCTACCATAATGTCTGAGTTAGATCTTTTAAAACAAGGTCAATCTTGTCGTGCTATAACTGTCAGTGACGTACTAATGTCCCTTGAACAATAAAGTCATATCTCCATAAACACCAATTATCAATCTGCCTCTACCATTATTTTCACTGCCCTTTATATTTTAATAATTTCACCAAGCACCATGGACCTTTAAAATGTGGTGTCATTGTTCATTGCTCTACATACTAATACATTTTTTTCTCCTCAGTTTGCATTGCTTATTTAAATTCTTCAGGAAATTGTTTTTCCAGTACATGTAAACATACAAAATAATAAACAAGTATACTGAAACCCTTCCTTTCATAGCCTCACCCATCATCTTGCATTGTAGGTATCAGCTTACACATGATTAAAACTATCATTCATTTTTGTCTTCTCTAATTCTCAGTATAAAATCGATACCCAATAATTCCTGTCAACTAAGCAAAAAATTTTGGAGTTAATTTTTTTAAGAAAATCCACAAAGTCAAAAAAACAAACAAAACATCATCAGAAAACAGCCTTTACAGTGTATGAATACTGGAACACTATTAGCAACCAACACTAGATGAACTGAATGTCGTTGGTAGGCCCTTTAAATAGCTATTGCAAAAGGAGAGAGGAAGGTCTGTGCCTACTACCACAACTGGTCCTTGTTCCATTCTAAAAGTACTTTTTGAGGTCCTTTTAAGGATTAAATTAACAATATCTGGCACTAATGAAGTTATCATGATTCTTTAAGGTTCCTCTCACATTGTAACAGGAACTTCATTGCCGCTTTGCTATGAGAACTCCAGGAGTCCTGGAGCAGGTGTGAAAGGCAGACTCTGCTACTTGAGCAGAAGTTCTTGTGCCATTTATTGAAAGTCTAATGAAAGCCCATCATGCAGCAATGGTATGAAGAATAAAGTCCAGAGGGTGGCATTGTTTTACCAGGGACAGGGAAGGGAACATTGTGACCATATGTCAAGAGATCTTTGTGACAGCAAATCATTTGATGTTATCACTGGCAGAGTTACTCAAGACAACCATGGAGACCTTCACATAATCAGGTTAAAAATGGCCTAAGAGTTCCTGGGTCTACCTCGTGGTAAGGGCTGTACTCCATAGATAGTCAAGGAATGCTCTTCTGTGACTTGCAGATAGCAAATTGGCCACAGTTGCCCATGAGTGGCCAGCTAATAAGCAGCTCATAGGAACTCACACTCTCAGGATTCTAGATTTCTTTCCTATTCTCATCTGCACTGTAAACCATCATAGCTTTTGATATAACAAAGAAACCTTAGAAGTGCTTGAACATCTCTAGCTCTTAGTTTCTATCTAAAAAAAAAGGGGATTCAGCTATCTAATAATATAGGATAGACAGACATACATATAGATAGATGTAATTTTATATATAACTCAACTATAATAAATGAAAGTATGTGGTAAGGTTAAGCATATATTACATAGTGTAATTTTATTATACAAAGTAATGTTAATTGAGTACCTATACTGTATTCACTGTGATATTACTCAGCGAATCATCAGAAAAACTAACAGGGTTTGGTACTATGGTTATTCTTTTAGTATGAATGAAGAAGCTAAACAGGAAAAGTTAAATAATGTTCAAGGTTCATATAATTGTAACTGAGGGTTAGACAGCCAGTAAAGTTCATACCAGCTCTTGACATTATAACTCTAATAATATATATTGTTATTATCAAAAAGATTACCAGCCAATACCCTTTAGAGAAAATTAATATTCCATAGAATAACATAAGCAATGAAACAGATTGATTAAGGTTGTTTTCGTTTGACTCCAGATGTGTAAGTTGCAAAAAAAGTACTATATAACCAAGAAAGTTGACATGTTAACTGCAATGTAAGCCTCTAGTAATTTTAACAATGGAGGGAGGATGAATTTTGATTGTAGATGTACAGCTTATCCAACTTGTTTCAGCAGTTTCAGCTGCCTGCTGCATCCCATCAGTCATGGTAGTTCTCAGAGACCTTGCTACTAGCCTGTGGGTCTTCCTGTCTGGTTGGGTCAAACTGGAAGATGGTACTGTAAATCAGAAGTTGATAATAAAATCCTGTTCATCATCTAACACACACAAAAATCACCCAAGAAGGTTTCTTTGCATTCTGTAGATTTTGAGAGGGCCGCATTTATTTTTTCTTTGTTTTAAAAGGGCTGCCTGATGTTTTGTTTGTTTGTTTTGTTATTCTACTGTTTATTCAGGTAACACCAATTTACAACACTGCATCTATCTTAGGGGTGTAGGTTCTCCCCATAACAAATTTACCATTTTATACTCCACCACCAAAGTACCAGTAGTCTGTCAATACCATGGAGCCCCACCTGCTATTCTCCCTTTCCAGGGGCCTCATTTTTCAGTTATATTTTAGGTATAATACTTGCAAACTGTACAGACTACATTACAGTGCAAATACAAAAGAAAACACTCCATATTCTTCTACCTAGTGAATAATTCTACAAGTCTAACAATAATCTTGTAACTTTTACATGTACTATGAAACCAAAAATTGTTTGGGATTCTTTATTGTGACACTTACTTTATTGTGACACTTACTTTATTGCACCTTTGATATCTCCAAGGTGTATCATACTTACTTTGCTTAATTTGTGTCAGTATTCTTTTCTGTAAAATGGTACTGAAAAGGGGGACAGGTATACATATTATATCTTGGAAAAATATTTGACACACAATTATATTCAATAAATAATAGGCTAACTAAAGTTCTTTCCTTAAAGAAAATGTCTACTAGTTCTTAAGAATTAAACAATAGCATGTGTTTTATAATAGTAAAGTGACCCGGGAAGCAAGAATCACAAAACTAGCTAAGCACATTGTCTAAGTTCTTCACTTGCTTATACAAATGTAAGACTACTCAGGCTCAGGGTAAAACAACAATGGTATTTATTTAACAAATCAGGGGAAGACCAAGAGTTACTGAGGCTAAAAGTGACCTTTTATCTCACCTAAAGCAGTGTCCAGAGTTTTTTGGTCCTAAAAAAAAAGCAGCTACTGTTGCAGGTGGTGCCCCACCCTGAGGGGTTGCTGTGAGGACAAACAGCCTTAGGGACAATGTTAAATAGTACTGGATTTTGAGGAGGAGCTTCTTGGAAAGGAAATCAATCGGAGAGAAGGCAGAAAGGAGAAGGAAAGGGAAGAAGGTTTTTCATTTGTTCAGTCTGCCTGATTCAAGGTTTGAGTTCCAGGTTTGAATCACTTCAGCATTTTGGGGGCCGGGATTTGAGCCCTTGGGCAGACTGATCTTGGAGAAGGCTACTGTGAACCTTTGAAAGTGGAGGCCAGTTGCCGAGATACTGATATGGTTCCTGGTTTTGCTGCGGATACTGCCTGGCCCAGCTGTGCGAGTGAGGCCTCTTGTGAGATCATTTTGGTGGCTGTGGCCACCTGATTGTTGATCATCTGGTGGGAAGATGGTCTTTGTGCAGGACAGTACTGGACATGACTTTGGGTGAAGCAAACGACCATTATTGGCCTTGGTAACTCTTGTTTTTCCAATTTGTTAAATAAATCCCTTTGTTGTTTCCTGAACCTGAGCAGTCATGCAGTTGTGCAGGTGAGGAAACCCAGACATTATTTGGTGAAGTATTTGGGCAGTGGGGCTTTGGCCAGTTTGGGGTCCCTTGCTGCCCAGTATTTACTGATGGCATCTTCCCACCACTGAGGACATAGAGTTCCTCCCCTGAATGATAGGCCACAACAGAAGACTCAATAAGAGATACTCCCAGAGCTACTGGGATGCCCCAGTGATACTGGTGACAGGGACCCTAAAGTGCCCAAGGCCCCATTGCCAAATCCTTTCCCAAATACTGCCTGGGTTCTTCACCTGCACACAACTGCAAGACTGCTCAAGCTCAGGAAACAGCAAAGGACTTTATTTAACAAATGGGGGTAAACAAAGCCTCTTCCTCTGGTCTCCACCTTCAGCGTTCCTCTGAAGCTTTCTCCAAAATCAGCCTGGTCCCAGGGCTCAAATCTACTGGTCCCTAAAATGCTGAAGCAACTGTTAAGGGGAAGGATATCCTAAAGGAACTCGGCAGAGTCTTATGGACTCCACCCCCTACTCCAGCTTTCTGGAGCCTACTCCCTACTCCAGTGATTGGAAACTACAACTCCCATCAGTACCAGGGAGAGAACTGCGAGGACCCAAGGGCGGAGCTAGCAGGAATGGATTCTGGGATATTTGGGGGTATAAATAGGGTGTGATTGCATCTCGCTCTCTCTGGCTCACTGGGGAAGCATCTCTCCGGATCGCGTGACTCAGTGTGTTCAGTCAGCCTAGCCGTAAGGTATTGCAGTTACTTTGTACCCCGCTCTTTCTCTGGGTTGTTGCCTATTCCTTTCCCCTTTTGTAAATAAACCCGTTATTGACCCTTTTGTATGTACGTGCAGTGCAACTGAGTTGTGAGCTCACGGGTGAGGCCCCACAGACAGCCGGCCAAGTCCACTCTGTTCTACCCTCTAACACAACTTCAAACCTAGAGCTCAAACCTTGTACACTGGAGCACAGACAAACAAGCTGCTTCTTCCCCTCTTTCCTTTCTTCTGCTCCAGTCAATCCTATTTCCTTTCCAAGGAAGCCCCTCCTCAAAAGCTGTACCTTTTACCATTATTCCTGAGGCTGTTTTTGTCTTCACAGTTACCCCCTCAGGGAGGGACACCATCTGCAACAATCCTTGGCTCAGTTGCCATCTGTGTCCCCACTTTTGGTTTTTATCACCACATCTATGGTGAGTATTGGACAAACCCTTCCATTGGCTTAAGTACAAACATTATAAAACACAGGTATTGACTGGTGTGACCAGCACAGCACCAGACAAGCAACAGTCAAGATAACAGTTGTAGCTGCTGAACAACCTGACAAATGGCCACACTCATGCAGCTCAGCTATGTGCCAGCTCTGGGTCTTCGCCTTCTCAGTCAGTCACTCAGTTACTTGCAAAGCTTCCAAACCTTGCACACCACCTGTAACTATGGCTTTAGTCACCAATTACAAAAGCAATTGGAGAGCTGAAAATCTCAAAATTGAAATAACACTCCTTTAGGAATAGCGGAGCAGACTGCTTAGCTGACATTGATTTGAGATCTCTTCTGTAAATTTAGAAGGACAAAACAAACAACAACAACAAAAAAAAAACACATTGTGTATTCTTCTACCCAGTCAATAATTTTATAAACCTAATAATAACCTTATATCATAGGGAACATAATTAGCCTCCATTTGTAAGCAGGGAGAATGAGGCGCAGAGATGTAAACTAATTGCTCAAAGCCACATGCGTAGTAAGCAAGGAAGTTAGAATTGGAAGCCTAGTGGCTTCATTCCAGTGACTGATATTAGCTACTGATATTAATTATGATGTGTATATATTGTAGTAAATAAGGAATAGAAATCTAAAGATGAGTGAAGTTTGAAAATTATTTATATACAGCTTGAAGCTTATTTAGAAGGGAGCTGTAAGGGAAATGAGGTAAAACTCATTCTGCTTTTTGTCTTCCACACAACAGACCTTGCATTTGCTGTTTTTCTCCATTTCAACACCTAAGAAATGACAGATGGACCTTGCACTTGCAACAATGTATCAGTTGTGTGGCTATGGACACTTACCAGTGCACAGGGGGCCAGGCACAGGAACTGCCTTTCTGCCTGTCTCATTGTTGGAGTGGCTTGCTCACTCTCTCTCTGCCTACCTGTATACTCAGTCCCTTGTCTCAGCATTAAAGGCCTGAAAAATCCACCGAAGTCTCCAAATTCTCTCTCTCTCTCTCTTTTTAAATATTTATTTATTTATGCATTACAGAACTGGGGTACAGGCCGGAGGTTCAGGGGTAGTGAGAGGCTTCACCAGACACACAGTGGGGAGCAGAACAGGCGGAATGAGGAAGTACACTGAAGAGGGAGTAGCGGGAGAGGTCTGCCGCGCCATGTGGGGCACCTCTGGGCTGGGAATCAAACTCATGCTGAAGTGGTTTTAGCTTTTTAGTGCTGTGTTTTATCAACTGTGCAACCAGGAAGGGCCCCAAATTCTCTTTTTTTGTCTGTGAGAAATGATAATGAAACTACCCAGCTTTGGATGGCTGCAAAACAGACATGAATTAAAATTTTGTTGGAAAGTCAGATCCTAGGACATTTAAGGAAAGACCAGAACTAGGAGTGTAGCTATGAGAGCCAGTGATGTAAGAAAGGGTTGGAGGAAATGACTAAGGTGAAGGCATTAAAGACTCTAAAAAGAAGATTATGAGTAGAAAATCAATAAATCCCCTACATTTAGTAGGATATATTTAAAGAGAAAACAGTGAATAAGATTAAGGTTTACTTAGAGCAGATGTTGCAGGCTGGCAGCATTACAACTAAATTTGACTTGCAGATGTGCTTTGAATAGTAGGCAAATTCCTTTCAAACTGTGAGATTCATTATTCTAAAAATCAGAATCTGTAGAAACACTGGACCCTTGTTCCTGTGGCACAAATGACTATATTCAATTAACTCATAATTAGCACATATTAGGTGCCTGATACCCAATTGAGTGAAATCCTCGCCACTCCTTGGTGATTCACCTGTCAAGACTCTACCTGCTTAGACTTGCACATTGCATGGCATTTGGGGATACTGTGATTTTAAAAGGTTGGAAATGTAGAAAAGAAATAGGAGAACTCAGGGATATAATTCCAAACAAGGGTGACTTTCAAGAAAAGCTTGCTAGCTGTCATGGTACTGATAAAGGAAAAAGAAAAAAAGGTAGTCACATAAAAGATATGCCATTTAAGACTTGCAATTTTTAAAAAATCCAGTAAAAAGAAGGTGATATTCAGATTGGGATTAAAAAAAAAAGAAGATGGAAAATGAGGAAGTAAACATTGGTAAATAGGAACAGTGTGGTCAATGGTGTGCTGAAGGATAGAATTGGACTTTTAGTGGTAAACAATATAGTCTATATACCTGTTGAGTCTCAGTGATGCAAACCTAAAATTTATACAGTGCTTTATAATACAATGCTACTTCAATTTAAATAAACAGCACCTATATAGTAACCTTTCAGAAGGCTTGACCATTGATCACCGATTTATATCATTTGCTAGTTAATTCACTTTTATTGTAGTGGGTCAAGTCTAACGTAATCATGACAGAGAAGATTCAGAAACCCTGAGGACTTCTAATGTCATCAAATGAAATAAAATATCTTGAAGTTTGCATTTTAAAATATCACAGAGTCTACTTAAATAATTGCTGATATTTTAAGAAGTAGCTTATTAGCTCATTTTTTTTCTATTAAATTTTCATTTTCTCCTTTACAATGAGGTTGTGAGTTACCACATAGCTGTTCAGTGAAATATCTTGTGAATATTTGTATTCCTTTGTTATACATATTAATTTCTCTTTTTCATTTCTAAATGTGTTTTTAATATTTTCTCTTTTCTTTGTTAACCTAGATAGAAGCAGATTGACTTTATTTTCTTGAAGAATTTTTGTTTTTCTATTTTCTCTTTAATTTTAATTGCATTTACTTATGCTCTAATTTTTATTAATTTTATCCTTCTACTTAGTTTTAGTTTTGTTTGTCCTACTTTTTCCATGCTGCTTTAGGCATCAGATTGGATTATTAATTTGGGATTTTTCTTGCTTCTCAATATGGACGTGTATTTCAATTATCTTCCTTCTTAAAATTGGTTTTGCTGAATCCCTGGAAGTCTGCATTAACATTTTCAATAGTCTCAAGAGATTTTTTGATTGTTTTAGTTTCTTCTGTAAGCTGGTAGCTGGTTATGTAACGTGTGGTTCAGTCACCATTTTTTTAAAAAGAGTTTTACAGGTTTTTTTTTAAGATTTATTTATTTATACATACAGAACTGGGGTACAGGCCAGAGGTGCAGAGGCAGTGAAAGGGTTCACCAGAGACAGAGTGGGGAACAAAACAAGCCGACTAACAAAGTACACTGCTGAGGGGAGCAGCGGGTGGGTCAGGAGATATCTGCCACGCCATGTGGATCACTTCTGGGACAGGAGGGGATCAAACTCATGCTGAAGTGCTTTAGTTTCTTTCTTTCTTTCTTTCTTTCTTTCTTTCTTTCTTTCTTTCTTTCTTTCTTTCTTTCTTTCTTTCTTTCTTTCTTTCTTTCTTTCTTT